TTTAATCGTAATACATGAGTTAAGTTTATTGAACAAATACCCTATTTCAATCGTCGTAAATTAAATGTTTAGAACCTGTCAAATAACACGTTCTAGTATTAAAATCGCCACAAAATTAAAGTTTACAAAATAAAATATCATTTTCATATTAAAAAAAATAATTATCGTCATCAATCAAAGATTTTAAGTCAAATTTTACTGATAAACAAGGAAAAGTAAACTCTGTGCGTTTAATAATTTTGCAAACAAAAACGGTGCAGAAACTTCGTCTCGCTAGATAAACGAAGGAATCTGTTTTACCGGGTCACTGACAACGACCGAGGGTGGCGGCTGAAAAAAGAAAGAAACACAATGTTACACCGCGCCATGTGATAACGTCGCACGAAATACGCAAGGATCGCCATATTCCTATGACGCTAGTGGTTTGAGAACACCTCGGGTCTCCTCTCTCAAAATACAGACTTTAATTACAGAACGTTATCTTCGTCATCCACGAGAATTCGTAGTAGGTGGGTGGTCCTCTGGCGGTTGCGCGGTGCAATTACAATTTCGCAGCGCTGTGCTATTTAGCTCGCGGGAAATGGCGGAGAGGATCGCGGAATCTAGCGGGAATAGTGCAACTTATCAATTTCGCCAAACATGGTCGTTACGAAGCAATACAAACTAATATTTGGCCATCATATTGCGAGGTTGTTTTTCAAAAAATGAGGTTGTTTACGGAGAGGGTCCATTATGCGTTCCATTTTTTCATCCCTTAGAAACGATAAAATCCTTCAAATTTCGTCAAAAAATGTTCGTCCTCAAATTTTTATTTTTCCAGTCATTATGCCTTTGCATTGCAATTGTACCATCTGCTGTTCATTAATTATAGTAGTAATATTACTTTTGTTTTCGCTAAAATGAAGCACATTATTAAAAGAAATCTAAATAAGTTCACAATAATTTTCAAGTTTCCTTTTTAAGATAAAATTTTCTATTTTTCAGATCTTTGATTTAACAATCAAGGTTGCTAATTGTGACAGAAAATGTTGGAAGTATTAATTAAGGGCTAATATATTCTAAGATATTAGGTACTGCGGAGATCTAGAATTATGGCTTCGATTTTTAATAGAATCTATTGAAATAAATCTATTTTATTAATTAATTAATAAATGAATGACACCAAAATACAACTCAAGTGGTATTTATTAGAGCTTCTGGCATTTTATTTGTAAAAAGTGAATTATTAAAAGAGACAGAAATAAATTTCAAGAAGAATTATTCCATGGAAAATTAAATTTTCTATCTATCTCTCTATCTATAATAGATTGATGTCTATCTACCTTGTCTACGTATCTGTAATAATCATCTGTAATAGATTGATGTCTACCATGTCT